AACCTAGAGTATACAGCCAGTGTGTACAAAACCTAGAGTATACAGCCGTGTGTACAAAACCTAGAGTATACAGCCAGTGTGTACAGTGTATAAAGAACCTGCTCCCTATCATTTTGCATTCTATTTTAATTCTGCACGTGGTTGAATGTTAAATCTCCCTGCTAGCCTCGCAGCTGCTGACTCGATACTCTGGCTTTGTTTCTGGCAGGCCCACAGGGACACTCACAGAGACCCAACTCCCTGAATCTTACATTTGATAAGAGTCACTGTCCTTTGTGCCTGGTAGGTTCTCTTCCTATAAAACTCTCAGCTCATGTTTTCTTAAGCCCCTGAAATTTGTTGCTCCATTCATCTCAGACATCCTGAAACCCCTGGAGTGAAGCTAATATTCCTTCCCTGGCCCCAGGTTTCAGTCCTCACTCTCCTGTAAGAGTTCACAGCCGTGTGAGCATGTCTTAGCTCATCACTCTGAGTCGATATGTGTCTTAGATACACATTCAGTGTTCTTCCTAAATATGAGTATTCAACTTCCTATTTAATTTGATGCCAATGATTAGACATGGGCTTGTACATGCTAAGTAAACATGACCACTGGGCTCCAATCCCAGTCCCTAAATACGTATGTCTTCATTTTTAAATGCTATGTGTATGAGTATTTTATCTACATGTTCTATGCACCATGTGCATGCCTGGTATCTTTGGATGTCAGAAGATGGTGCCACACCATAGGACTGGAGCTACAGATAGTTGTGAGTGGCCACAGAGGTGCTGTGAGTTGAACCTATATTCTCTGGAAGAACAGCCAGTGCTTTTAACCACTAACCATTTCTCCAGCTCTCTCCCAAATATATTTTGGTTCAGTAAATGTTCTTAAATATTTTTAAAGAAATATTCTGAACCCAGGCATGAAAATTCACATCTCTAATCTCAGCATGCTTGAGGCTGAAGCTCGACTGTTGCAGCCTAAGCTACATAGTGAATTCCAGGCTGGAGTGTAGACCCTGGCTCAAAGAAATCAAGCAAGCATGAGAATGAGAAAGGAAGAGAGGTAGAAAGAAAGGGAAAGAAGGGAGGTATACTGTACTCTTTCTGAGGTTTTAGTCTTTAGGGATCCTAATAGTTATATGTCAGATTTTCTCCTTCTGTCAATATTTGCTACTGTCTTTATATCTTTTAAAATAGATTTCTGTCTTAGTTGAGGTTTTACTGCTGTGAACAGACACCATGACCAGGGCAACTCTCATAAGAGACAACATTTAATTGGGGCTGGCTTACAGGTCCATAAGTTCAGTCCATTATTATCAAGGTGGGAATATAGCAGTGGCCAGGCAGATGTGGAGCTAGAGGAGCTGAGAGTTCTACATCTTCATCCAAAGGCAGACAGGAAAAGACTAGCTTCCTGGCAGCCAGGAGAAGGGTTTCCAAGATCACCCCCACAGTGACACACTTCCTCCAACAAGGCCACACCTCCTAATAGTGCCACTCCCTTGGCCAAGCATATTCAAACCACCACATTCCACTCCCTGGCCTCCATAGAATTATTTAAACACATGAGTCTATGGGGCTATAGTCAAAGCATAGTGAAAAATACATTTGGTTCAGCTTCAAAAGTTCCATAGTCTATAAGAGTCTCAACAATGTTAAAAGTCCAAAGTTCAAAATCTTTTCTGAGATTCATTCAATCACTTAATTGCAATTACTTATAAAGTCAAAATCAAAAAGCAGATCATATACCTTAAACATCACAGGATATACATTACCATTTCAAAATGTTATAGTGAGGAAATACAGAAACAAACAAGACCAAAA